TCTGATAAACATTTGATCTCTGGGACCCACATGGTTGAAGGAGAGAACTGACTGCCACAAGAGCACAAGAGCATGTACACACACACACACACGCACGCACACATACACAGCGTTTAAAATGTAAAAGGCTAGGTGTGCCGGCACACACCTTTAATCACAGCTCTTGGAGGCAAAGCAGGCAGATCCCAGGCCAGCCAGTCGGCTACAAGATGAGACTGTCTCAAGAAAAAAAAAAAAGAAGGAAGAAAATGAAAGACAAAAACATGTGAATGTAAGTCACAGAAGAATACAAAATTTAGAAATAAAAAAGTCCCACACTTACAAAACTGAAAACAGCGTACTAATTAGTGAATTACATGTCATATGTTTTTCTGGCAGATTTTGTTTCATATTATACATTTTAAACATCTCCTTTTCCTCTTAAAAGATTTTAGGATAATAGTAACATAACACTTAATTTTTTTTTTTTGAGGCTGGGTTCCATAATGTAGGTGCTGATCCCTACCTCATCTCCCACAGTGCTGCAATTCTAAGGACTGGTTTTTGTAAAGATGGGGTCTCACCGTGTACTACACTGGCTTATATGTAGGGAAAGTTAATCTTGAACTCCAGAGAGCCTCCAGTCTCTGCCTTCTGAGTGCTGGGAATAAAGGCACGTACTGCTACACTAAGCCATTTTTATCTTTTGTTTGAGACATGGTTTCCTGTAGTGCAGGCTACACTTGAACTTGCTGTATAGCTGATGATGACCCCAAGATGAGCAGCTGTCAGTAATCCTATTTTCAATGATCAGATTTTCCTCTCCCCTCCCCGTACAGCCCAGTGTGACCTTGAATTCCATAGTCTCCTGCCTCTTCCTAACAAGGACTGGCCTCACAGTCTTTCCCCAACACTCCCATTCTATCCGGAACTTTACAGATAAGGACACAAAGGCACAGAAAGGTCACACAATTTGCCTAAAGTCAAACTGAAATTTGAGGCAGACAAGTCTGAAGCCGTCATCATCAAGTCTGAGCTAAAACCAAAGGACAAAACCATCCTGCCTCAGGCTCCTCGGTGTAGGGATTACAGTGTGAGCCATCACCATGGTTTAGTTGTTTCTTTTCCTTCCCTCCCTCCTTCCTTCCCTCCCTTCCTCCCTCCCTCCCTCTTTCCTTCCTTCTTTTTCCTGTTATTTGTAACCAACTGTCTTATTAAGTAAGAAACACAGAACCAATGCAAAGAAGAACGCCAAGAGGTCAGAGCTAAGAGCTAAAACCTTACCCTTCCTCCTGCGGTGGTCCTACCTCTCTGAACCAGAACCACTTCCTGTGTGTCTGTCTTTTTATAGTGTTTCTGTTCTGCCTTCTCATTGGTTGTAAACCCAACCACATGACTGCCTCATCACGGCCTGTCTGTATAGACCTCCAGGTTTTCTATGATTGGTATTGAGATTAAAGGCATGTGTATCCAATACTGGCTGTATCCCTGAACACACAGAGACTTACCTAGCTCTGCCTACCAAGTGCTGGGATTATAAACGTATGCCACCACTGCCCTGCTTTCCTATGGCTTGCTAATAGCTCTGACCCCCGGGCAACTTTATTTATTAACATACAAATAACATTTGAATACAAAGAAAATATCACCATAGTTTAGTTGTTTCTTTTCCTTCCCTCCCTCCCTCCCTCTTTCCTTCCTTCTTTTTCCTTCCTTCCTCCCTCTCCTCCTTCCTTCCTTTCGTTCTTTCCTTCCTTCCTTCCTTTTTTCCTTTTTTTTTTTTTTGTGTGTGTGTGTGTCGGGGTATCATGTACCAGGCTGGCTTCTAACTCTCTGTAGTGGAGGATGACCCTGAACTCTAACCCTGCCTTTACTTCCCAAGTGCTGAGATTAGAGACATAAGCCTGGTATAGGCTTCATTTTTTAAAAATTTTCTTCATTATTCAATTCTTAAGAAATTACAGTAACTGAAGTTAATGTAGTGGGCATGTGTGCTTCTTTTATTCTTGATGTTAATGGCTGTAAGATCCTTATGAGGATGCTGTAATCTGACCTTGAAAAGCAGTATCTGAGAACGACCCTCTCCTTCCAGTGGCCTGGAAGCTTTATTGACTCACTGGTAGACAGTTAATGTCATTTGCTTTTGGCATTATGGCTTATTTATGGCTTATTTCCCTTGACCTTTTAATTATGTTCGTTATACCAATAGATTTCCTAATGTTGAAAGCTCTTCTTTGGGAAAACCCCTATGAGTCATGCAGAATTAATTTTTTTTAAATGTCTCCCTATACTACTATCATTAATATTGATACTCTTGGGAAAGATGGCTCTGTCCTGGATTTTATGTTTGTTTGTTTGTTTGTTTGTTTGTTTGAGACAGGTTTTTGCTATGCAGTCCACATTTTCTTGTTTCTATGTAGATCAACGTGGTCTTGAATTCATTGTAATCCCTCTGCCTCAGCCTTGGGACTGTAGTTTTAGATCATGTCTTTGTCAGCATTTGCTACTGCAGTTTGGTTGTGTGTTAGCCTGGATTCTTCTTTGGAGGAAACAGAAACATATTCCAGCTGATGGAAATGGATTCACACCAAGGATGTGTCGTAGTTAGGATTACTGTTGCCGTAATGAAACAGCGTGGCCAAAGCAAGGTGGAGAGGAAAGGGTACATTTGGTTTATGCTTCCACTGTTCATCATTGGAGGCAGTCAGGGCAGGAACTCCAACAGGGCAGGAACCTGAAGGCAGGAGCTGATGCAGAGGCCGTGGAGGGGAGCTGCTCACTGGCTTGTTCCTCAAGGCTTCCTCAGCCTACTTTCTCATAGAACCCAGGACCACCAGCCCAGGAATGACACCACCCACACTGGTCTGGGCCTTCCCACAGGCTTGCCTACAACCTGATCTTACAGAGGCATTTTCTCAATTGAGGGTCCCTCCTCTCTGATGACTGTAGCTTGTGTCAAGTTAATGTAAAACTAGCCAGCACAGGTGGTGGCACCCACTCACCTAGAATCCCAGCACTCTGGGAACAAAGGATTACTGGAAATTTGAGGTTGATCTGAGTTATGTAGCGAGTTGGAGGCTAGCCAGGATTGTACTGTAAGACCCTGTCTCAAACAAACAAACAAACAAAAAATAAGAAAGGAAGGAAGAGGGAGAGAAGGAGGAAGGGAGGGAGGTAAGGGGAGTGGAGCAGGGAGAAGAAAGGAAGACAGGGATTCATGAAGACATTTGGAAGTTTCTGGGTATGCGGAACACTAAACTGGAAAGAGGCTGCACTCTCAGGCTCCCTTTGTCACATCTTCTCTCTCTCCTTCCTGACTTTTCCCCACTCCAGTCCAAGCAACTTTTATTAAGATACTCTTAGGAAAACAGGAAAAAAGGAGTGCTGTAATCATAGTACTTGGGTGACTGAGTTAGAAGGATTATCAGGAGTCCAGGCCAGTTCAGGCTATAGAGTGAGAGCCCATCTCAAAAAGAAAAACAAGGGGCTAGACAGATGGCTCAGGAGTTGAGGGTTCCTGTTGCTCCTGTAGAGGATCCTGCATTTCCCGGCATTCACACAGTAGCTTACAACCATCCATAACTCTAGTGCTGAGAACTGAACCCAGGTCCTTCTGTAGGATCAGCAAGTGTTCTTAACCACTGAGCAATCTTCCACTCCCTATTCCTACCCTCTTTTACCCAATAAGGAATTTTCATCCTTTTGGATGAAACAAATAAAAAGGTTGTTGTTATATAAACAAACAAAAAATCTTAACTGTAACTCCCATATCATTGTATACTTTTCATCTTTTAAAAAGGATATACTTATTTTTATGTGTGTATGTATGTGCACCTACATGTAAGTACGTGCACCATGTGTTTTTCTGATATCCGAGGAAGCCAGAGGGAATGTCAGAAACAATTGTGCCACCATGTAGGTGCTGAGAACTGAACCCAGGTCCTCTTCAAGGGCACTAAGCACTCTTCATGGCTGAACCATCTCTTTAGCCCATGTATACTTTTTCTAAGGGTCCCCCGGCAGTTATACTTTATGCTTATTATGTGAACACTTATGTAAGGACCATCTCTACAGCTAGAATGCACACTTCATCAAAAAGACCCTCAGGCTAACACAGAATTCTGTAGGTATCCAAATCTGGCCTCAAATTCATATCCATCTTCCTGCCTTAGCCTCCTTGGTGCTAGGTTTGCTCATCCTTACCATTATATTGTTATCATAATGTTTTCCCTATGTTTATATGAGTGAATAAACAAACAAGTGATTGCAAAATGACTAGAGTCATTCATACCCATGTGGATCTTTATCTATTGACGTTTAGTATTATAAACATCTCACCATAGCAGTCAAGTTGTATGCAAAATAATGGATACTCTGCAACATGAATTGTCTATAATTTACAACTATACACTTCTGCAGTTACATATAGTAAACTTTCTCTGCAAATAGATACAATCTTACTGAAAGAAGTTGAGTTGTAGAATCTTACGTTTGAAAACTACAGCTGCAGTAAGATCATCGGGGAAGACATGATTCACTTCAGTTAAATGGTCTGTATTCGGAAGTTCAGGCTTGAGAAATAAGTAAACAGCGGTGGCCCTTAAGAAAGATACCAAGTGTTTTCCACAACGCTGTATATTTCCACTCTATTCACCTCCTGGAGCGTTAATCAGAACCAACAATTTCAGAAGCACATCGTTGCCATAATTGCATTAACTGTGAAGACAGTCTCAGTGACAACATGTCTGCCACTGTCACAGACAAAGGCGACGTGTGGATGTAATGTGCAGGTGGAAAAGCTTCAGGCAGACTTAAGACTCGAGTCTGGCTCTCTGGTAGCCATCTTTAGCTGAGGAAGAATAACATCCATCTCTCAGCATTGTGGCAAGAAGTTGCTAGCAGCATTGACTAAGTTTCCCCCCATCACTCATGTTTACCGAAACCGTTTTTTTTTTTTTTTTTTTTTTTAAGCTCTGCATGTGATGCTGGTACTGAGCCAGAGTTTTCTATCTCTGCTCTTTCTGTGCTTGTCTAGTTTAGGGAGCTCCTGGGCTGGGCCAGCTTCTTCTCTACTCAGCCATTCCCCAGCATTTCTGTTGAACACAAAGGTCCTAGAAGTATCAGGTTTGGGGTACAGTGTAAGAATCAGGCTTTTGTAGATCTTGAAGGTCTTTTTGATGTAACATCTCTGTCTCCAGTCATTAAAAAGCATCTACTTGGCTATTTTGCTCCAGTTCTACTTCTAGGATGGTATCTGACTGCCTGCTTCACCCAGACTAGTCAGGAACACTAGTCTGCCTGTGTGAAGTTAGCAGCCCCGGCTCCTTGGTAGAGAGCCAGGAGGAGAGTCTGAGGACTAACATTCTGGCTTCACAGCTGCTTTTGCGTCTAGATTTTAGCTTCCTCCCTTGTGAAGCACAGCTGATACATGAGATAAGAGGTTTTTCTATAAGAGGCCTGTAGTGAGAGTCAGAGCATGTGATATGAAAAACACTGTGAATCTAAGTGGGCTGGTGCTACACGGGTCTGTAAGCCCATGAAATCTGCATTTGGCTAAGACTCATTCATTTGGGAATTAGTGAGTAAGGCATTGCCATTGAACAAAATGATCAACCCAAACAACATGGCTCCGAATACATAATTTCATCTATGGAGGCACTACTCTAGTACAGGAGTAGAAACAAGAGCCTGAGGATATAGCTCAGTGGTTGAGTGCCTGCCTGGTGTGCACAAGGCTGTGGTTTGATCTTTGGCGCCACCTAAATCACACCTGGTGGCACGCTCCTGGCATCTTTGCCCTCAGGCAGTGGAGGCAGAAGAACCAGAAGATCCAGGTCGTCTTCAGCATCATAGGGTGGTCAAGGCCAGTTAGTTAAGACCCTGTCTAAGCAAAACAAAACAAAGTAAAAAATAAACAAAAATACCTGTGTGTGCGCGCACACACATTTTAGTTTAGTTTAGAGTTGAGTTCCGAGTTTCCCATTCTTTGACCAACAAACGTTTCTTAGAATGTTAGTGAGAAGCAGGCAGGTTACAGGAATGTTTAAGAAGATCTTTACAATTCACCATTCACTGGCCAACTAGCCAGGCAAGACAGTGAGCACCTGTAATTCCAGAATTTAAGAGGCGGGGTCAAAAGGATCACTCCGAGTTCCAGGCCGTTCTGGACAACCATAACAAGACCTACTGTTAAAAATACAATGTGAATAAAAAGCAACAACAATAAATCAACAAATCAGCCGGGCGTTGGTGGCGCACGCCTTTAATCCCAGCACTCGGGAGGCAGAGCCAGGTGGATCTCTGTGAGTTCGAGGCCAGCCTGGGCTACCAAGTGAGCTCCAGGAAAGGCGCAAAGCTACACAGAGAAACCCTGTCTCGAAAAAACCAAAAAAAAAAAAAAAAAAAAAAAAAAAAAAAAAAAAAAAAAAAATCAACAAATCATCATAAACCATTCACTTTCAAAGAGTTGAGCACAAACTAAGATGTGAAGCAAAATGATAATTTAAAATTCCTGTTGCGTGCGGAAAGAAGGCGAGGTAAGGGTGTTTTATCTATGGCAACATTAGCTGCCAGTTAAAAGCAGAAACCACATCCTTCCTAGATAGTGAATACAGAAGGAAGTGAGCTGGGAAGGGAGTGGGCAGTAAATATTTTGTGTTATCAGTTAAAGTAACAACACTATGGAATCTGATAGAGGGACATCTTTGATTAAGATTACTATCTATCAGCTAGATGGTTAAGAGTGCTTGCTGCTCTTCCAGAGGAGACAAGTTCGGGTCCCAGAACCCATCTCGGCTGGCACACAATTGCCTGAGACTCCAGCTCCAGGGTCTCTGGCGTTCCTTTGGCCTCCTCAGGTACACACATGCACATTCCTGCACACAGACATACAAACACATACATGACTAATGTAATAAATCTTCGAAAGAAAATGTCCGGTGTGGTGGCATCCTCCTTCAATTCTAGCACTCAAGAGACAGAGACAAGCGGATCTCTACGAGGCCCAGGCCAGTCTGGTCTGTGTATTCGAGGTCCGAGCCAATTAGGGACTCCTCAAAAAAACAAAAAAGAGATTCAGATTTTGCGAACTGTTTGGTTAAAGGACCAGTTTAATGGTCATATATGGTTGGTTGTTAACCCTGCTAAAGAAAGCTGGTTTTTGGATCATTTGCCACCCTTCCCAAGAATCTAAGTTCAGGAAGTTTAGAGCTGTGAAATGTTTGAAGAAACTTCTTCTTTAAGCACCAAATCCCCTTATGAACTGCATTAGACAGGGTTCTCTAGAGGAATAGAAAGGGTAGAATGAACACACACACACACACACACACACACACACACACACACACACACACACAGAGAGAGAGAGATGTATTATAGTGCCTCACATGCTGTGGTCCAGCTAGTCCAACAATGTCTGTCTACCAATGGATGTTCCCTGAATCCAGCAGTTCAGTCCACAAGACTGGATGGCTCTACTGCTCTTTGGTATATATACAGGGATCCCAAAGAAGTGGGTCCTAAGGCCGGTGAAGAAATCAATTTGCCTGCAAGAACAGGGGCAAGCAGGCAAAGAGCAAAAGCTTTCTTCTTCCATGTTCTTTCCATAGGCTGCCGCCAGAAGGTGTGGCCTAGATTGAAGGTGGATCTTCTCACCTTGAAAGATCTGGATTAAAAGTGGGTTTTCCCACTTCAAATGGTTCAATTAAGAAAAATCTCTCATGGGTGTGCCCAGCTGCTTGGGCTTTAGTTAACTCCAGATGTAGTCAAGTTGACAACCAAGAACAGCCATCAACCCACAAAGCATACAACCTTCTGTAACCATCTGTGACTTCAGCTCCAGGGGATTTGACACCTCTGGCATTCATGGTCACCTACACTCATGTACACACACCAACATGTATCCACACACACCTGCACTTAATTCATTAAAAATAATAAAAATAACTCTTTAAAAAAAGATCTCCCATATGACATAAAATTAACTTTAAAACAGTAGTGTTTGGCTGCTCATGGTGGCACACATCTTTAATGCCAGTACTTGGGAGGCACCAAGATTGCCAAAAATGTGAGGACAGCCTGGTCTACAGAGAGCTGAAGGCCAGCCTGGGCTATACAGTGAGACTGGGCTTCAAAACATGAAACCAGAACAAAAAGTGACTTTCATTGTGTATGAAGTCTACTTATTATCCTGTTTGTGTATTGGTACAAAATCCACCCGTGTGCTATGATTGTTTAGTATGGCGAGATTTGTTTTTCCAGGGTGGGTAGCCAAGACAGGGTCTCACTGGCTGGCCTGGAACTCACTCACTAGCTAGTCTAGGTTGGCCTTAAACTTTTGGCACTCTTTCTGTCTCTACATACTCAGTAGTAGGACTGTAGGTGTGTGTGTGTGTGTGTGTGTGTGTGTGTGTGTGTGTGTGTGTGTGTGTGTGGTATGTGGTATGTGTGTGTGCATTTTCCCGCCTTATCAAAGAGCTGACTTTGCGTTGGCTCTGCCAGCTCATTAGCTGGTGATTTCAGATTAGTAGTGTATACTTGTTCATTTCAGTTCTCTTATCATGGTGCATGGGGCTGCGGGCAGACATTACGTGGCCCTGGCTGGCTTGAAACTCACCTTGAATTCACAGGGACCCACCTGCTTCTGCTTTCTGTGTGCTCTGTTTAAAGGTGCACGTCACCATCCCCAGAAAACTCTAATCTTAAAAAAAATTTAGGAAAGAGTAACTATTCATCATAACCAGTCTTTTCTGTAAAATGACCACTATTATAAAAGAATGCTTTGAATATTAACTTGTGAAAATTACCCAGCGCATATCAGGAAGTCAGTCACTGGAAATATCTGTTCTCTTTGCTCAAACACTGTTTGACTTAGCCAGTTTGCTCTCAGTGAATGGACAGTGGGAAGAATGAGTGCAACACTGAAGACACCTCAAGTCTTTATGCAGAACATGAAATATGAAACACGAAATGCTTCAGAAGGCATTCTGAAGAAAAATGTACCGTCCCGTACAGTGTGTTGCATGCACATGACCTCCTTATCCTGGATTTCCACAGTGCCGCTGTGAATCTTCGTTTATACTTACCTGCAGACTGCTCAAGCTCCGTCCTGCATGTTGAAGGTGATAAAGGGCAGGGCCCTTGGGAGGTTATTTCATGAAGCCTCTGCTGGTGAGATTAGAACCTTTGTGAGAGAAAAACAAGAGGTCAGTGAACCATCTCAGCTGATAAAGGCGCTTGCCACCAAACCTGACAACCCAGAATTTGACCCCTGCAACCAACATGGCGGAAGGAGAGAACCGATTCCTGAAAGTTGTCCTCTCATAATGCATGTGTGCACACAGACACTGACAATGCATGCGTGCATGCACACACACATGCACCAAATTTAAAACAGAGAGAAAGAAAGGGAGGGAGGGAGGGAGGGAGGAAGGGAGGGAGGAAGAAACCCAAGCTACTCCTGTCCCTTTTTCCCACAGAGAAGACATCATTTACAAACTAGGAAACAGGCACCCTCAAGACTCTGAATCTTGATCATGGACTTCTCCAGAAAACGTAAACTTCTAGTTGTCCTGGTTAGTTTTGTCAACTTGACACAAGGCAGAGTCACCCGAGAAGAAGAATATCAATTGAGAAAATGCTTCTATCAGAGGGCATATAGAAAAGTCTGTGGAGGAATTTTTTTGATTACTGATTGGTGTGGGAAGGCAAAGCCCAATGTGTGTAGTGCCATGCATGGGCAGGTGGTCCTGACGTGTATAAAAAAGCAGGCTGAGCCAGCTGGGGGAACAAGCCAACAAACATTGTTCCTCCATGACCTCTGCGTCAGATCCTGCCACCAGGTTCCCACCTTGAGTCCCTGCCCTGACTTCCCTTCACGATGCACTATAAACTGTACACTGAAATAAACCCTTTCCTTCTCAAGTTGCTTCTGGTATGTTCATCCCATCCCTGGAAACCAAACTCAGCGGAGACACTGTTGTTTCCTAGCCTCTCTGTGATACTGTTGTAACAATTCAAATGGACTAAGAAATACACCCAGGATCCGAGTTTATATCTTCGTATATTCACTCCACAGAATTGGTTAACACTTGGTCTATCTCCAGTTCTAACTCACTTATCTTTTTAATATGCCTCTTGCCTCCCTATCCCAAAGTAGAAGTTGAGAGAGTGAGTAAAATCCTTGGCACAGACCTCTTATCAATAAAGAAAATACTCCATACATGGTTGGTTTTTGTGGTTGGCTGGTTGGTTGGTTGGTTGCATGTTCTCACTCTGAAGCCCAGGTTTGCCTCAAACTTGTGGAAATTCTCCTGCCTCGCCCTCCTGAGTGCTGGGATGACAGATGTGAGCCAGCACATCTGTTTGCTGAATTTCTGAATGTGGAAAGGATTTCCCTCCCTACCTCCTTTCTTCCCTCTTTCGCTGTCTGTCTGTCTTCCTTGCTCTTTTTTAGAGATAATCTCTCACTCTGTAGCCCAGGCTGGCCTTGAACGCCTGATTCTCCTCCCTCAGTTTGGTTTACAGGCATGTTATATGGTATCTGGCTGAGGATTTTTTGTTTGTTTGTTTGTTGTTTTGAGACAGCGTTTCTCTGTACAGTTTTGGTGCCTGTCCTGGATCTTGCTCTATAGACCAGGCTGTCCTCGAACTCACAGAGATCTGCCTGGCTCTGCCTCCTAAGTGCTGGGATTAAAGGCATATGCCACCGCTGCCCTGCCAGATATTTCTTTCAGGATGGCATTCATTCCTTCTAAGCCAAAAGGCCACTTGGAGAATTTATTTAATATCAAGTTATAAAACAGAAAATCCCTAAGCACTATTACATTCTTTCCACTTGACAACAAAAAGATCTGAAATTTATGTCATACCGCTTTCATCCTGTTTGTCAATAACTTTTAATTAAATGTGAACTAGAAAATATGTGAATTTCATGACTGAGCTACTTGGGTTCTTGATTTTTTTTTGTTTTTATTTTTATCTTTTGAGAAGGCTGTCTCTATACCCATATGTGGCTCCCAAAGAACTTTATCCCCCTCCTGGGTTCCTGATATGGCATACCACTGAATTCATCATCAGTTTCTTATTTGTACATTCATATGGGGATTTTATACCTTTACTACAGGTTAATTTTCCTGACTGTCCTTTGATCTGATCCCATTAAACATCATTCATTCAAGTAGTAATTTTGAATGCATCCCTTACAAGGCTTCTCTCTATAGTATCGGAATTATTTATTACAAGTACATATGAAGGATCGTTTGTCATTTATGATGACAATGTGGCCCAACACTGGAAAATGCAGAGCTATCCTTTCATTTGCTCATCTAAGCTATTGAACAGCCACGGTGTGTCAGACACTCCTCCTAGGGGTGGTATGGAGACATAGGCGGAGATCAGAAGTATTATTAGAACTTCCAGAACAGAATGACGGACTCTCTCGTAGAGGAAAGCCACGAATTTAGGACAAGAGCATCGAGGAGCTGATTTGAGCATCAAGTGTGAGTAAGATTAGCTAATATTCCTGTGAGAGTGGGTTCACGGATGCAAAACCTAGCCTTTGAGTCATGTCTGCCTCATAGAGAATACAAATGATAAAAAAGATTAGTGTCCATAATATAAAAAGAATTCCCAGGTGCCAATAAGATCAACAACAATAAAATCAACCAATGGGTAATATAAACAAGACATTTGATGGAAAAATGACATAAGTATATACATAAAAGTTACTCTAACTCATAAACTTAATGCTATCATTTCATATTTACCTCCTTGTCGAAAATTCAGAGGTTAAAATACTTTGAGGGCAAGGGTCCAGTACACAACTGTTTGAATTAAGTAACTTGTTTCTTTAATTTAGTAGTTGTTTGTTTTTGTAGCCTGGGCTGGCTTCAACCTTACTGTGGAGCTGGCCATGACCTTGAACTCCTGATGTTCCTGCCTCTACCTCCCGAGTACTAAGATTATAGGTTTGTGCTATACACCCAGCCCTTGCCTTTTTTAATGTCAAAAAAAGATACTAAAACATTGAAAGACAATGTAGACTTATTCTTAAACTTTATGAAGATACTCTAATTGGGAAGTGCACCATTCACAAGAGCAAGCTATATCTGTTCTGTATTTGTTTTTCATATTTTATCCTTAGGGTTTGGTGCCATTCTTACAGACACAGAATTCCTCCCTTTTGTGGAATGTGTAATTCACAAAAAAACCAACTATATGTGAAAGTAGCCTGACTTTACGCATTTTGAATGCCAGTTCACTGCCTCTGTGAAGAGGCTCATCCGTATTTTTCCGTCCTTATTTGAACACAATGAAAGCTTGTAAAATGGAAAATTCCAGAACTTAAGAATGTGTTTATTTAAAGATTATTTCATTAATAAAATCGTGTTCATTCAGTAATGTTAGTTATAAATTTATTCTACTGACATGTTCTACTTCTTAATTTGTAAGTGGTGGAGATTGGCTTAGAGATTTAAGCTCTGAATGGCACTATACATCATAATCCCAGCAAGCACTGAGGAGATTGAGGCAGGAAGATCTTGAATTTGAGGCCAACCTGGCCCTCCATAATTCTGTCTCTAGAAAAGAAAACCCAGAGGCAAACACAGATTAGCAATGAATGTGGAGGTCACTGACTGTAATACGGCCCCCTATAGTCTCACTCACGGACTGATTTCTTCACTGTGGTAGAGTTGTCAAAACATGGCTTTCTGTTTCATTTCCTACCTTGCCTCAGAACTTGGCTTAAGGTTTTTGGTCTTTGCTCTCTGGTATTTCTGTTAAGAATCTTTTTGTTTGGTTGGTTTTGAGAAGTTCAGGCTGGTTTGGTACTCACTCCTTAACCCGGCCTCAAACTCATGGCCATCCTCCTGTCTCAGCCTCTTGAATGCTGGGATTACAGGAGTTTACCACCACTCACAGACACTCCAGGTAGGAATCTATGACTTCTTAAGTCTCTACCAACACACGGGCCAAGTTATTGATAAGATTTTGATTATGAAAAGAAACTTGGTTATTGAGTGTTGATTCTTTTAGGTTTTCAGAGGCAAGGTCTTGGTATGTTGTTCTGGATGGCAGGGGAATTACTCTGTGACCAGCTTGGCCTTGAACTAGCAGTAATTCTCCTGCCTCTGCCTCCCCAGTGCTGGGATGACAGCAGGATACCACCATACTTGGCTTAATAGGGCCCTGAAAATGCTTTTGAAGCCCTGAAGAAGTCACAGGAGTAACCTAAATTATCCCCAATCTTAAGTGGAAAATTGCCTTTGATGCATTGCTTCTCAGTATCCTTCCTCTGAGTTAACATTTCAGATCTTTTGGGGCCATTGGCCAAGAACTAAAGGGATTTTTTTTCCCTTAATTTTTCTTTGACATTAAAAAACACATAATAAAAGTCCTACTGGAGTCGAATGTGAATTTCCAGTTTGTTCACTTGTCTATGATACATCTATGAGACATTTGTTTGATGTTATCCAGTGCCCTTTCACCTACCTCCAACTAATTCAACTATTCTCATTCTTTAAAAATTCAATTAAAATGGCAAATTATTATGTTCCCCCTTCTCTTGACACCTTTCTTTGAGACTGTCTCAGGCTATCCTCAAACTTTCTAGTCAAGAATGACTTTGAACTTCCTGATTCTTCTGTCTCCACTTCATTAATATTCATGTGTTGGAGACTGAACCCAAAGCTTTGACAAACACCCTACCAACTAAGATATATCCCTAGTCCATCAATAAGATTTGTTGTTAAATGTTTTGCTTGGTTTTTTTTTTTTTTTTTACAAGATCATGCTATATAGCCTGAACTCCATATGTAACCCCAAGTGGGTCTTCAGCAAACCCATCCTTCATCCTCCTGTGTCAGCTCCTGAGTGCTGAGATTCACAACTATTTGCCACCACATATGGTTAATATTCTGTATTAGGGACTAATATGAAGGTGTGTATTGTGGCAATGAACTGGGTGGCAGTGACCAGGAAGAATTGAGAGAAGACAGTGCTAGGGCTGGGCAATTGATCCCCAAACAGTGTATAAACATAGGCTGCACTCACAGTGAATTCACAGGAGTAGAGATGAAAAATTAAGGAAGGTACTAGGATGGCATGAACCAGGGAATGAATAGAAAGACAAATGTTATTTTGTATAACTTACCCATTATGCAATAGACTAGATTGCAGGAG